TTAAAAGAATTTTCCCTCTGACCTTGCTTCTTTGACTCCAAGGTTTCATCAAACACAACATATTCATCAGAAATGGGTTTACTAAATTCACCAAACTCCTTTTTTTGCCTCGGTAGTTCTTTTTTTTCTCCCTCTCTTTTTTTCACCTCTAAGAATCCCACTTCTTCCCCATTATCAGTAACCACTAATACCTGCAGCTCAGTATTGCGGCATCTGTGAGTTGGTGTGCAAGTTTCATCACAAAAACAACATAGCACCTTGTCTATGTTCATCTGTAGCTTGGCATAAGTTAACTTCTTAATTGGCAGTGCCCCTTTTGTCGTCGGTGAGAGGTGGGTCACGGTAACGGCAGTTGATTTGGAAGCGGTCACAATTGTTTGGTTTCGGTTTGGATGGATAGCGTTATTTCTTTGGAGAGTTAAATAATAGGGGCTTGGGCTGTAGCTGTAGCTATTTCCTCTAAATTTAACCTTGTTTGGGCCAAAATTGGCTTGGGCTTGCTTCAGGAACTCCTTTGAGTCTTCTCCCATTTGGGCCAATTTCACAACCCAGCCCACATGATCTTTTATATGAACTCCAGCCCTAATTTTAAGCCCAATTTCTTCCTGGTTCTTCATCATCGTGGTCTCCTCCTCTTTATCCTTCCAGATTTCCCTCTTCTCCTCCTCCGGTGACGATAGTTTCTTCTCAATCTCCCCGTTTTCTGTCTTCCTTAATTCCTCCTTGTGATTTCGACCCTCTTCACTCACTTCGATTTCTTCAATTATTGGTGCGGTTTCAAAATTAATGGTGGACTCCAGCGAAGTGACTGCGACCTCCTTTTCCTTCATGTCCAGCTCCTCCCGGCGGTACGTGCTGGGGTGACTTACTCCAGCTTCCTCCAATTTTGGGGAATTTTCAGAAGTGATGGTGAGTTTCGGTAAATTTTCTATTATCCCATTCTCATGCTTCTCTTGTTTCAGCCCATTCCATCTTCGCATCATCCTTTCTTTCAATTCTTCCCAAGTTTGCACGGTCCGTTGTCGATCGACCTCCTGAAACCAATCCCAAGCTTCACCCAACCAACATGCGGTAGCTGCTTCCACTTTTTCCCTCTCTGACAATTGGTTCCTTGCGAAAATTTCATCTGCTTTCTCCAACCACCAGTCTGGATTGCCATCATAGAATATTTCCACATCTAGTCTACCTACCGAATCCAATCCATATCCCCTTGCCATTCTTCCTAGAACCTTGCTCTGATACCAATTTGATAGGA